GGGCTCGGCCACCTGGGGCTCCTGCAGCTCCGTGCCGTAGAACTTGGTGCCGCCGCCTTCTTCATGAGTCTCAAGGCAGACGTATCGAAAGAAAACAAACCACGTCCAATCACTGTCAGACGTACCCATCATTAAGGCATACGTTTCGCAAGGATTTTTGTTTAAAAAACCAAAATCTCTTATTTTTTTCCCCGTCATTTCCAGCATTCGCTTCATGCCGTTTTATGACCTCTTTCTTCATCTTTGCGGCTGCAGCCGGCGCTCGGAGAACAAAGAGCAGCCACCGCCCTCAGACCCAGCAGCCTGGTGGGAGCAGCAACATCGCTTGATTTCCCCACGCCACGTCTCAGTCGCTAGTGATCCTTTAGGAAGTGCGAACAAGCCTCAGCAGCCACGTTTCCTCACACCCACAAGCCCGGCGACCGCCCCGTCTCTCTACAAACACCAAATTAATCTTGCAAACGTCGGAAGAACCTGAGAACTGACTCAACGCTTGAAACCCGCAGGGGGCAAAGGCAGGGCTGACGCGCGCTTCCTCCCTCCTGGCAGCGTCGCCGTGCCCGAGGACAGAGCTACTCCACCTTGAGCTTTGTTTTTATGTTCATGGCTGCCAGCTCCGCCACGAAGTAACGGAAGACGTGGGGCACAGGGACAGCCTCGATCATGTCCACCTCGCCGCAGACGGAGCAGGAGTACCTCCTGCTGCTGGTCACAGAGGAGGAGTGCGGCGGTTTCTCCAGCACGGGAGAGGTCATGCTACCGCAGCTCATGCAGACGTAGGCGATGGAGCCGTCCGAGCAGTTGAACAGGCGGTCTTGCAGCAAGAAAGACGTGCCGTGAGCCAGCAAAGCGTCGCGCTCCATCTCGCCGAAGCGAATCCCACCTTCCACGTTCCTCCCCTTGACGGGCTGGTTGGTGACAGTGTCTCGGGGCCCTGTCGTCCTCACCTGGAACTTGTCCGAGACCATGTGGCGCAGGCGCTGGTAGTACACGACTCCCACAAAGATCTCCGCCTCCAGCTCCAGGCCGCTGATGCCACTGTACATCTTTTCCGTCCCAAAGAAGTTATAACCTGCGCTCACTAAAGTCTCGCCGAAGTATTTCAAAGCGGAGTTCTTCTCTGTGAAGGTGAAGGGAGTGGCGTCGTAGGAGACGCCGTGCAGTGCTGCTGACTTCCCCGCCATGCTCTCAATTAACATCCCGATGGTCATACGGGAGGGAAAGCCGTGAGGGTTGAAGAGGATGTCGGGAACCATCCCGTTCTCTGTGAACGGCATATCCTCAACTGGCCAGAGCTGGCTCAGGATACCTTTCTGGCCATGACGGCTGGCGAATTTGTCTCCGACAGTTGGATTTCGGGGAACCCTCACGGTGATGCAAGCCTTCTTGAATTTCCCGGTGCCGCGGTCGTTACTGCACAACCTGACGTTGTCCACAATGCCGACTTCCTTATTCCTGTGCAGGCGGAAAAACAAATCACAGCAAAGGATGGTTTTTAGCTAGGAAGGGGAAACAAAGGAAAAAACCAAACCACTTCATAAGTCTCACAAAATGCCCTGGGACAGCTGGGGAACACCACCATTCTTGAAAAGTACTGTTCAGTAGTGGGGGGAATCAGACTGCATAAGAATCAGGGCAAGGAAGCAATAAAGTGGCATCACACAAGTGCCATTCGTTTGCTTTTTCTGATACTAGAGGCACAGCTGCAACTTTCAGGTGAGCAGGTAATGTGCCACCCATGATGTAAAATAAAGATCATTTAAACCAGGTTTCCCTGTATCGCACTGTATCTGACAAACTGCATCCCAGTGCCATCTGTTCCATGTTAAGGCAGCAGTCCCTCTCCCTACCCCCAATAAATTCATGCCATCTTGGCAGGACACTGACATAAAATATCGGGTTCAGGGCAAAGCAAAGTTGAGAGCAGGAAGGGGAGGCACAGTGTGAGCCGAGAGGGCTCTGCCAACAAGTGCCTTGTTCAGGGATGTGCTGCTTCTCCAGGTGAAACCTCAGCCCGATGCTCCAGGTGCTAGGTGTCTGCTGCAGGCTTAACGGTTGTTACAGAGCTTTCAGCCCAAGCTCTCCACTCGTTTTGGAGATGACAGCTAGGGAATAAATACATTTTGTCCCACGGTAAGACAGGGTTACTATTCTTCTCCTTTGAAGTCCTAATGAACACGGTGTTTGCGGAAGGCCTGTACCTACGTTTAGCTATGTTTCAAAGCTATTATTTTGCCATGTCCAAATGCAACCAGGGTACAGGCCATCCCCCCCAAAAAACAGAAAGAAAACTGTGCTTCATTAGATTCTTCCAAGCGTGTTCAAACTTCTGGATTCAAAGCCTCCGTCCTTCCTCTCTTCCAAGCCACACATAAGACCTAGCAGCGCACGCAGCACTTAGGAACTCCCTCTTAAGGGCCCTCTGGGGCGGGGCAGGAGCCAACACTGAGAGCTGGGAACCTCATCTCTCTG